CGGGGCTGGGGAACAAAAGAGCCGGCAAACGCTTTCCGCGGCCCGGACGTTCCTGGCTGCGCGGCGGACGCCCCTGAGCTTTGAACTGCTGAGAGCCGCCGTGCCGTCCCGTGTCCCCTCCCCGCCAGCCGGCCGGGACCTGGGGGCTGAGAGCGTGGGGAGACACGCCAAGCTGCGAGTCGGCGTTGACCGGGCTCCTTCCGCGGCGCCCTCCCCAGGCTCTGTTCCAGAGATCGTTTTCTAGAAAAGCTGCGCAAAGTTGTGCGAGAGCCCGTTTTCCACGGCTTCTGCCCGTCTACTCAGCGGACAGCGGTGTAGCCGGGCTTGGGCGTCTCGCCGGGAGGGAGCAGAGCCGGGACGCGGGCCCCAGGACCCGGTTCCCGCCCGCCCCGTCGGCCCAGCCCACCCGGGGGTTGGGATGGGTCTCCTGTGCCCCCGTCGCCCCCTCCCGCCTTCCCGGGGCCTTGCAGCCGCTCTCGTGGATGATCCGGCCACGGGATAAGCACACTGAGAGTTAAAGTTACCGAGAGCATCCCTGCGCCACTGAGGACCCTCAAGTGCTTCATGTCACAGAACGGACGCCGACCGGAGCAGTCCGGGGGAGAACGTCAGGAAGGCAGGGGCTCTCTTAGCGACCACCACCCGCCCGGGCCCTGGGAGATCCTGACTCGCGGCCATTCACTCTTTTCTCTTTTTTTGAGTTGGAGTCTCACTCTGTCGCCCAGACTGGAGTGCAGTGGCCGCTCCCGGCCACCGCAGCCTCGACCTGCCGGGCTCCGGCCATTCTCTCTTAAACGCCCTCTGTTCTGCCTCGGACTCACTGAGCAACTGAGTCCCAGGAGCTGGATAACCAGAGGTGGCTGCTCTGCCCCTGGCAGCCGTCTGCTCCCTGGTGGGGCCTGGGATGATAGAGGAGGAACTGTCTCTCCAGCTCTTGAACTTTGGAGCCGGGAGTGTTCCATGTGTAAAACTGGTGGACCAAAGAAGTGCAGGCCTAGCTGGCGCTGCAGGCGGTCACGTTTACTGATGGCCACGTTTACCGATGGTGGGGTGGTGAGGCCCAGGGATCCCTCACGCTTCTGTGGCACCTGGAAGATGAAGCGAGTGAGGGGTGGGAGGCAAGGGAGAAATTCAAGGTCAGGAACCCAGTGTGCCCAAGTCCCAGCTGACCTCAAGGTGAGGCAGGGTGGGAGGTGGGGCCTCCGCTGGCTTTGGGAACTCCCTGGAGTCTAGGACTCCCTCCCACAGGGCATGAATTCTCAACAACCCTGCTTTGGCTTGTCCTGGATTCTGGAGAGGTCAATCTGGTGTCTCAAATTGCTGTCATTTTAAATTCATTTTGACAAGTGTTTAATTCTTCTTTATCACAACCCTTGGTCTGAGAGTGATATGCAAATAATGGCTATTCTGCAGAGCACAAAATGTGCAGTATCTCTCTGTCTGATCTGTCAATTAACTCTGGGTCGGGTCCACTGGCCACTCTGGGGGTGGCCCTGACAAGGCGGCTTCCAGCTCCTGGTTCCCTCCAATAGAAAAGCACATTATCGAAATTTAAGAGAGCAGCTGCCAATGTGACCCCAAGATGTCTGTGTGTGTGCGGGGGTGGAGTTTCAGGAATTAATGCACACGGTGTTTGTGAAGGCGGGTTCACACACTAGCCTCTGAGCTTTCAGACACGGTGCTTATGTGAGGGAGTGTGCAGCCGTAGTGACAGGAGCTATACAGAAGAATAGTTGTGGAGCCAACATCTCTGAAGTTGTTCCTTCTTTCCTTGTGTCCGAGCAGGTTCATGAAATTGCATGCCTCGTGGAAAGAGATCCCCTTGAGAAGGCATCCTCCTGGGTTAAAGTCTTTCCCAAGTGCCGGCTGAAAAGGAATATGACTCTATTCTTTCCTGTGGCCACCTGCCTGCACCCTCAAAGAGCACCTGTCCCGTCCTGCAAGGAAATACACGCTTGAGGGCAGCAAGGCCAAAGGGAATCCCAGTCATCCAAAACAGAAACCTACACTTCTGCAAAATAGTTTATTAATTCATTATAGGGACAGATATAAGATCAATGCCTTCACTCAACACTAAAGAATATCATATTTGTAAGGAGAAAAAAATGCCAGAAAAATAATCAAATAGTATAGCATAAACTAAATATAGACAAATAAATGAGCAAGTACCAATTACACTTCTCATGCATCCAAAAAAGGAAACGTTTTAAATGAGACTCGAAAAACCTAAGGCATCAATGGTAGGTGACAAACGGATTAATACCCTGTAAAAGGCCAATAGACTCTTTTCTAATAAAAATACTGCTATAAAGACTCAAACCTAACACTCCAAATTACCCAGAGCCCAAATCATATATAACGCCGGTGAGTAATGGCCACCTTCTTATCAACTGTGAGTTATAGGCAGATACCAGATTTATTACTTATTTGCTTTTGAGAAACAATTTTCCACCCAACCTAATGGGTTATAAATTGTCTCATTTGCAGCTATTTAATTTAAACCAGAACCTCTGTGCCTGTTAAACAAGAACATGAAAAATGACTATATAGTGTAATGCTAAGGGCCCACTGGTAAAATAGTCATTTAATTAAGGGCAGTTTTTTCCTTAAAAAAGAAAATAAAACCAGCAAAATAAAATGAGGCTTTTGACCTTCAGAGCTACAATGAAACATACACAGTGGTGTCAGCCACAGCAATGTCGAATGCTACAGAAATAGTACAAGTGACAGCTCTGTCTCTAACGAGATACAAAACCAACATGAATAATCTTTAGTGTTATCATAAGCGGGTGTGCGAGAGGTGGAGATGGAGGTGCGGATGTCAAACATGAGTGACACCCGAGTGTAATAAACACAGATGCTCTCAGGGCTTGAGGAAGCTGCCACTCTGCTGAGAGACATCTCACCATTTAAAGAAAAAAGGAAAGAAGGACTGGTTAGTTCTAATTTAGCCCAGAAGCCAGAGTTAACTCTTGAAGTGCCGATCAGTTAAAAAGATGCAATTGGCTGGGCTTGGTGACTCAGCCTGTAATCCCAGCACTTGGGGAGGCCAAGGTGATTGGACTGCCTGAGCCCGTGGGTTTGAGACCAGCCTGGGCAACTTGGCAAGACCTCGTCTCTACAATTAAAAAAAAAAAATTAGCCGGGCCCAGTAGCACATGCCTATAGTTCCGGCTACTTGGAAGGCTGAGGCGGAAAGATCGCCGCAGCCTAGCAGGTCTACGCTGGGGTGGCCATGAGTGTGCCATGGCACTCCAGCCTGGGCGACAGGGTGAAACTCCAACTCAAAAAAAAAAAAAAGGTGTAATTAGGGAGCAGGGACCCTCCTCCTACCTCCTGTGCTCCTACGAGAAGGCTGAGGTGAAAAATCATTGACATTGTCTTTACTACACAGAAAACAGAAGCCAAGCTTGTCTCTGTGTAGCAGCTCAACAGAAATGACTTCAAGATTCAATTTAAGGAAATAACAAAATGAAGTGAGCCAACCACCCTTTTCCTGTGCAAAGACAAAGACTTCCCTGCCATCACCCGGGACAAGGGTCCTTCCTCCCGCACAGACCAAGTCATGTTCAAGCCCCCAGGTGGGAGGCCGCTCCCTGCTCCCATTCTCTCAGGAAAACAGTCTGAGATCACATCCACCCAGCATACCTGTTGCCCTGCATGGAAGGGAGGAAATCTTCTGACTCTGGACTTTTGGTTCATGGTCCCCTTCCCTGTCTCAGAAATTTCCATTTGATTTGGGCCTATCACCTCCAAGGAAAGCCCTCCTAGTCCAGTCCCAAGGAGAAAGAGGCAGGGAAGCAGGGGATCCTCTCCAAACCTGCACTGGGTGGGGGTGGCAGCCCGCCCAGAGCAGGGGCATGCAGAGGCCCTGAGAGAAGAGGGGGCAGGAGGTGACAGGTGCAGTGATGGCAGCGGACACAGGAGTGGCATGACAGCCTTGAAGCAGACATGAGGTAGCCACGTTGTCGGGGAGGATGCAGAGACTGAGCCCAGACAGAAGAACAAGATGATGCTGGCTGGGAAAGACGAGGGAGAGACAGCTGAGAAAGGGAGACCAGAGCGAGGAGAGGTAGAGCCAGAAGGAAGAAGACTCTGGACCCCAGCGCAAACTGATAGGGAGACAGATACTAGTGCAGTGGAGGGTGGGGAGGGGGTACTTTTAAAACTAGGCACTTCTTAAGTTACACCATTCAATGCAGAGTTGCTCTGGGGAAGCCAGAGTCAGCCTCTCAGTTTGGGCAGTGGGGAGCTGGTGGCCACAAAGCTGAACATCAAGGCATTTGGAGCCTATGTGACACAGCCAGACAGGATGCGGCAGGGCTGCCAGGCTGGGGACGCTCAGCATATAATGAAGGGTGGTGATGGAGTAGGCCCCAGGGCTAGGGCTAACGCCCTGGGGCACTGAGTTGGTCTAGGAACAACTAGGCCACAGTGGCCACTGCCGAAGCGAAGACGGCCCAGGACACACGCGTGTGCTTCACAATCACATGCCGACGGTGGCTCCTATGTCTCTCACGTATCTCATGTGTCAGAGAGAAAAAGGGGCATAAGTACTTCCTTTCTTCCCCCCATCCCCAAGACCTAGGAGGCCCCCAAGGGCTTGACAGTGTGTCTGCAAGCACGTGTGTACATGCATGGTCATGCTTGTCATGTCCCTTGAGCCGCACTAGCCTGTCCCAGACTGCATCCTCTAGGGAAGCTCCACAGAGCACGAGGTTGAGGTTCTGGGCAGGCCTGGGCTGGCTCCTTGAGGGCAGGGGGCTCTGGACTGCAGGTTGTTTCCCAGGGTCTCATCTAGAGCCTCGCTGGGCTGGAGGTCTGGGTGCAGGCAGGAAGCATGGGCCACCTCTGGTGGTCTGTCTGGTCCGGGGGCCACCAGCTCACCCCCTCTTGGCTCCTTGTCCAGCCAGGTGGCCCCCTGCCCTGCCTCCTCAACACCCGAGATGAGGTCAGGAGCCTCCAAGGGCAGGGGGCCCTCAGGCTCCAAGTCTTGGAGGTCGGGACTCCCTGTGGACGCACTGAAGTCAGAGTGGACCATGACCTCAGCCTCCACCTGGTTCCTGCAGGCCGGGGGTGGCTTCTTCCTCCCGCTACCCTGCTCAGAGAAGGGGATGTAGAGACAGGGCCACCATCACCAGTAGCAGTCATCAGGAGAACCAACACACAGGGTGGAGGGAGAGCGACTCTCCCTCCAACAGAGGACATGAAGGACACACAGCAACCAACCCAGAGACGGTGTTCAGACCCAGGCAGAGACAGGAAAAATGGGACTGCAGTCACATGCCCTTGCCCAAGGGCCTCTGTGAGGCAGGCAGGGCTGAGTGCAGACAGGTCAGGCCTCCCTCAGATCCAGGTAACTGCCTGATTCTGCCAGGTCCATGCAGGTCTGGGTAGAGGGACTGTCTCCAGCTCAGAGGAAACGCAAAGATTCCTGCAAGCTGGTCCATACTCTCCCTAGCTCAGCCTTTGGAGACTCCAGGCTGGACTTATATCCCCAAGAGAGTCACCACTCCAGGGTGTCTCCTGACCTGCTCCTTCCCAGGACACTGACCTTGATGGCATCATACACCAGCGCCTGCAGCAGCAGTGTCTGCCCAGTGCCAGCGGGGGGCAGCAGGGCCCGGGTCAGGGTGGGTCTGGGGCCCAGCTGGGGCAGCTCGTAGCCTGCCCAGGGACCCATCCAGTGTGGCCCGCCTGCCTGAGTCCAGGAGATCTGCACGGAAAGAGGGGACGCTAAGGGCATGGCCAGGATGGGCGGGGGGGGACCACAAGGGGGAAGTGGCTGGACTTGGGGTGCAAGGCCCAGATGTGGGCCCACACACCCATATCTCCCTCCCCAAGCTCTGGGGAGGCGAATAAAAGAGCTGAGAGTCTGTGGGGCATCTGAGGGTGCAGCCTTCTGCAGAGAAACCCAACACCATCCCTCCCAGAGCCCGAGGTTCCAGCCAGGTGGATGCCCTCAACAGAGGCAGAAGAGGCTGAGGGACCTGCCTGTGAGGCCTCACCTGGTTCTGCCCTGCCTGGCCACAGCCCAAGTTGACTAGCCCCCCTTCTCCCCATGTGAGGGAGGAGGCACCCGGGTGTCCTGGCGACCCTAAGTCACCTGCAGACACCTCCTGGGGCCTCCCCTTCGTGGGAACCAGGTAGATCTATCCTGCCTTGGGAGGGAGGCCCACCTGCCTGGTCTGGAGGAGAGCGTGCACCCCCCAGCTGGCCCACAAACTAGAGTGTGGGGGGGAGAGCGATCTCTGCGGTATTCAGGCGCCCCCTGGTGTCCTATGTGGGCATGGGCTGCAGTTCGGGCTCCAACCCACCTTTCTCTTGGAGTGACCCCGGCCTTCACAGACACTGCCACCCATGAGGCTATGCACTTCAGCCCTGTCTTCTGCGTCTGAGGGTGAAGGGGACCCGTCTTGGGGACGGAGGTGCACAAGGGACTCCAGTTCATGGGCAGATGGGGGGCCAGAGGGACCAAGCCGGGCTCTGGAGTACAGTGCAGGGTTCCCAGCAGCAGGCGTAGACAGGCCCGGGAGGGCTTCCCTGGAGAGATGGAAAACAAGGCCCAGGGGTCAGAGCTCAGGGTGGGTTGGGCTGAGTCTTGGTTTCTGTCTGTGCCCTGTCAGCAGAGCTTTCCCCCTTGACCCTAGGCATCGGATATCAGGTTCTTTTTAAGCTGCTGGCAGCTACCAAAGTAGCGAAGCCCTGCCTGGCTTTGCTGAGGGACCATGCTGGGTTCCCTTGAGCCCACCACCACTGTCAGGGGACATCCTCTGATGCTTCATCACTGAGACCTAACAGTGGTCCTGGGGTACCCAGGGCATCACGACCACGTGCCCTGCTGGCCCTTCTGCAGCCCTCCTAGCACCCCCTCCGGGTCAGATGGCTCCTGCCCACCTGTGGGGGCCTTGGCGCAGGCCAGCACACACACAGGCCAGGAGGCACAGGAGGCCCAGGCAGACGCCCACGATGATGCCCGTGACGGAGTGCATGTCCAGGGAGGCTGGCAGGAGAGGCACGAGAGGTCAAGGGCAGAGGACACAGGGCTTTGGGTCAGGACTGCCCATGCGTCCTCTGGGCAGGTGCATCTCACCCTTTAAAGCCTTCCACACAAGGACAGGAGCCCCCATGGGCCCGCAGGGACTGCCACTCCCCTTCCCATCCTCCCGCAACAACTCCAGAAGCTGTGGTCTTTCCTCATCCAACTGGCCTTTGGGTGAAGCACCCCTGTGCCCTGGGCCGGTTTTGTGGGTGTACAATGGGCACAGCTACAAGAGTCGGCACTTAGAAGGGCTCCATGCTGATTGTAATGCTCTGCTGTTACCATCCTAAAATTCTCAGTAATTTTGTCATAAGGGACCCGCATGTTCAACTCACACTGGGCCCTGCACATGATGTGGCCAGTCTTGGGGTCCACCCCACTCCATAAAGCTTGCCTCACCAAGCCAGTCCCCTCACCAAAGCCATCTCTCAAAGAAACCAGTCTTCTACCAAACCAATCCCCCCAAGTCTGACCTCTGAACTGAGTCCCCACAGAACCACATCTAGTCCCCCTTCTGATGTACCCATCATCCCCAATCCCTGAGGGCAGGGCAGCTGAGCAATGCAATTGGCTGGTCCTGGAGACAGGGACAGGAAGTCAACTCCAGGGGCCTCTGGGGACCCTGGGCTGCCCCAGGTGGGCCACATGCCTCCCCCAGCCCTGACACCTGAGAGCTCTTCTTGGAGCGTGATCACATCTTGCAGGCGGGAGAAGGGCCCAGGGCCCACCTCGGTGCGGGCCCCCATCTTGAAGAAGTACCGAGTGTCACTCTCCAGGCCATGAACCTCAGCACTGAAGGTGTTTCCTGGAGGAGGGGAGCAGGTAGGGGTAGGGCAGGGCATGGCGAACAGGTGGGAAAGTCCAATGGCCCTGCCTGCTCTTCCCAGAAGCCCCCAGTGGACCCCTGTGCCTCTCTCCTGCTCACCCACTACTGGGAGGCTGGAGAGGGCAGATGCCCTGGCCCAGCACCCGGGGCCTCACCCTGCGTGGTGAGCAGGGTCCACTGGTGCTCGGGCTGGGAGTGGTTGCTGCTGTACAGAATCAAGTACTCCACGATCTCGCCGTTGGGCTCCGTGGGGGGGCACCAGTGCAGCCGGACAGCAGATGGTGTCAAGGGGCTCACACGAAGGTCAGATGGGGGTGTGGAGGGCCCTGAATGCAGGAGGAGATGGGAGGGACAGGGTCCCTGAGAGTCCCGGCTCTGGGACTCTGGCGACAGGGACGACTGTCTTCTGCCTTCACCAACACCAAACAAACCACAGGGCAGAGCAGAGGGCTGGCCTCCAGCTGGGACACAGCGTGTGGGGGGAGGGGCTTCTCCATTCTTCCTCCCCAAGTGGCCCTCCCCCAGTTCTGCCCAACTCATGGGATGCTTCAGTAGCAGAGTAGCTGGGGCAAGGCAGAGGCGGGTGGCAGGTGGGGCTGGCAGGGGCCACTCACGGTCAGGCAGGGTGGCACGCTCCACCACGGAGCCAAAGGGCCCGACCATGTCCACGCCGTGAGACTGTACTGCAAACTCGTACTTGGTGAATGGCTTTAGCCCGCCGATGAGGATGTCTTCTCCAGAGCTGCTGAGGCAGGACATGTGACTAGTGTACACAGGCACTTGCTCCCAACAGAGCAGAGCCCTGTTCCCCTGGGAAGGGAAGCTGCTCCCCAGCACACTGACTGAGTGGCCACTGACAGCACTCAGGGACCTACAGAGAAGTCTGGATGTATATTGTTCCATGCCAATCTCTAAGCCAGGACCTCTCCTCCAGGAAGCATTATTGGATTAATTCAAGTTATTCTCTACCCCAGGAACAATCTTTGATGCATCTTTTCCTTAATTTTGCCCTCATGGCAGTTGTATATATTAGTCACTTTTTTTTTTGAGTTGGAGTCGCACTCTGTCACCCAGGCTGGAGTGCAGTGGCATGCTCATGGCCATTGCAGCCTCGGTCCACTGGACTCAGGTGATCCTTCTACCTCAGCCTTCCAAGTAGCTGGAACTACAGGCATGTGTCACCACACCTGGGTAATTTTTTGATTTATTATAGAAAGAAGGTCTCACTAAATTGCCCAGGATGGTCTTGAACTCCTGGACTCAGGTAATCCTCTCACCTCTGCCTCCCAAAGTGCTGGGATTACAGGTGTGAGTCACCGAGCCAGGCCATTAGTCACTTTTTGTGTGATGCTCCCTCTATAAAACCAGAAGCTCCCAGGCTTGGGTCTCCTTTCCAAGGGGGAGCTCTGAGGATGAAAGCAGGGCACCCTTCCCCATATGATTGGGGCCTCCAGGATGGAGGACCTGGTCTGTCCTGTGCCACGTTCTCCATAGTCTGAGAACGAGGGCTATTGTGAAGGATAAGTTGGATGGGTGTTCCTGTCCCACCTGCTGCCATCTGGGTTGCAGGAAAGGGTGTGGCCCTTGTGCAGACCCCCAGGGAGCCCTGCAGGACAGGAGAGTTGTGGCCTGTGCTGGAGTCCCAGGTCCCTCCCACCACCTGCTGCCTCCCTCCTTATGACAAAGTCCTTGTCCCCACCTGGTGTAGTAGGTGACCAGGGATGCATTCCTGAGCCCCCAGGGGCTGAAGCGCACGGTATAATTGACAATCTTGACTGTGGTGAAGTCTGGCTTTTTCCACCGAAGCCAGATGGATGTGGAGCTGTTTGATTCTGCATGGACATGGGCTGGGGGCAAGGGTGGACCCCTCTGGATAGGCAGGTCTGAAAGGTGAAAATTAAGTGTGGGGAGGGGAGGGGGACACTCCTCTCCAAATACACGCTGTGGTCTGCAGTTCTCAAGGCTCTCTCTTGGACCCTCTTTCTTGATCCTGTGAGTTGGGTGGCACTGTTCCCACTTCACAGGTAAGGAAACTGACCAGGCACAGTGGCTCACGCCTGTAATCCCAGCACTTTGGGAGGCCAAGGCAGGAGGGTTGCTTGAGCCCAGGAGTTTGAGACCAGCCTGGGCAACACAGCGAGACATCCTCTCTTAAAAAAGAAAAAAAAATTAAATAAATAAAAAATAAGGTTAGTCAGGCGAAGTGGCTCATGCCTGTAATCCCAGCACTTTGGAAGGCAGAGGCAAGAGGATTACCTGAGTTCAGGGTTTTGAGACCAGCTGAGCAACATGGTTAGAACTCATCTCTACAATAAATAAAAAATCAGCCGGGTGTGGTGGCACGTGCCTATGGTTCCAGCTACTTGGAAGGCTGAGGCAAAGGATCGCCTGAGCCCAGTAGGTTGAGGCTAGGGTGGCCATGAGCATGCACCAGCAGTCCATCCAGTCTGGGTGACAGAGGGAGACTTGACTCAAAAATAAATAATTTTTTTTTTTTTTAGTTGGAATCTTCCTCTGTCGCCCAGGCTGGAGGGCAGTGGCATGCTCACACCACTGCAGCCTCAATCTACTGGGCTTAGGCGATCGATCCTTCCACCTCAGCCTTCCAAATAGCTGGAACTATAGGCATGCGCCACCATGCTCAGCTGATTTTCTGACTTATTGAAGAGATGAGGTCTCACCAAGTTGTCCAGTCTGGTCTCAAACCCATGGGCTCAAACCTCTCACCTCGGCCTCCCAAAGTCTTGGCAAGGATGTGATAAAATTGGAAATTCGTATTAAAAAAGGAAATTGAGGCTCTCAAGAATTTAAGTGGTTTTTGACTGTGGAACACTAGTATGTAAGAATGTAATACAGCTAGAGGCAGAGAATCATGGGGATTAAGAGCACAGACTCTGCTTTGGTTCAAATTCCAGCTCTGTCACTTACTAGCTGTGTGACTTTGGGGAAATTACTTAACCTCCCTGTGCCTCCATTCCGTAAGTGGAATGATGGTTGCACCTACCTCATGGGGTAGTTATGAGGATTAGATTAGTTAATATTTGTAAAATAGATAGGAAAGTATCTGGGACATGTTTACTACATAAGCCTAACATAAACTCCGTAAGAATAGGCAACTTATTTGTGTTTTCTACAACTAAATTCCCAGAGCAGAGCTGGCACTCAGTAGATACTTAGCAAGTTACGTGCTAAATGAACACATGAACAAGCTGGAGGAAGAACCTGGGTTCATGGTTTCTGAGTGGACATTCCTCCTACTAAACCATGGGTTGAAGATCAGCCTGGAAAGTTTGGGGTTAAGGGGTGTTGTGAAGGACAAGTAAGGTGTCCCTTACAGGGTCCTACAGAGGAGGGACTTTTGCCCGGAGCCAGGAGTTCTGGTTCCATCCTAGGCTTCATGCAGCCTCGGACAAGACCCTTTTCCTCTCTGAGTCTCAGTTTCCCATAAACCATGCAGGGATACCCTCTGAGTGGAAGGATATGACAGATACAGTGATGTAGACAGATGTGTTTTATTTTTGTTTTTTGAGTCAGAGTCACTCTGTTGCCCAGGCTGGAGGGCAGTGGCACACTCATGGCCATCGCAGCCTCGACCACAGGGCATTGTAGAGATGAGGTCTTGTCAAGTTGCCCAGGCTGGTCTCGAACCCCTGAGCTCTGCCAATCCTCGAACTTCTGTCTCCCAAAATACTGGGATTACAGGCTTGAGCAACCATGCCCAGCATGTTTTTTTTTGAGCTGGAGTCCCACTCCGTCACCCAGGCTGGAGTGCATTGGCACCCTCATGGCACTCCAGCCTGGGCGTCCACTTGCTGGGCTCCAACAATCCTTCCATCTCAGCCTTCCAAGTAGCTGAAACTACAGGCGCATGCTACCATGCCCAGCAAATTTCTAAAAATTTATTGTAAGCTGGGCTCGGTGGCTCAACCTGTAATCCCACACCTTGGGAAGCTGAGGTGAGTGGATTGCCTGAGCCCGCGGGTTCAAGACCCGCCTGGGCAACTTGGT